AGGCCACTTGGTCTATAAATTGTGAAGTTAGATTGCAGGCATGGATGCCCATATGGGTCCTCCCTGAAAACATGAATGTAACTTAGGCAAGTGTCCTGGATTTTTGTCCTGCCTCTCCATCCAAGCTTAAAGCATCTACCCATATTTATCAAAACCAATGAGCAGGCCAACAACTATTGGTTCTTTCCCTACATATTTCCAGAAAACTCACAATTTTCATAGAACACCTTGCTGAGAAAATCAGACTCTCTCAATTCACAGGACAAGGAAATCTGTGTATCTCTCCTCACCTGTCTATCCATAAATATTTCTCTATATGTAACCATCTATCGTAGGCTAGAAAACCTGCCACTTCCTCCGACAAAGGTTTGCAGAGATTTGATGTGAAGCTAATGAACACCTGTGAAACTGCATGCGTGAGCCCCATAACCACATGTGGGTTTTCAGGAGAGGCATGCACGAAGCCACACAGGAACACACAAGCTGAGGATGCTGTGCCAGCTCACATGTACATGCAAAGCTCACAAAGAAAAGCCTGTGTGACCGTAAGGGAGACACAAGTCAGAAGCCTCCGGGACCCACAACTCCACCCCAGAGGGAATCCCCCCATGTCCTACTCACATTACTCCCCGACATTTGTCCCACTTCTCCTCTTGGTGTTCATGTCTTTGAGAGGCTGTGAGAGGCTGGTCAACTGACGGCTGATATTTCTTATTGGAGACACAGCGGGCACTTGGATCCTCTCCTGGCATCAGAGGAAACCGTAAGAGAGCTTCCACAGCAGCATCAACGACCCATTTCTCCGTCATCAAGTCAATCTGACAGAGAGAAAAGCGAATCAAGACATAGAGTTCTGCACACAAGAGGAAGCCTTCAGATCATGGAATTTAGTGTGCTCTTTCCTCCAATTAAGGAGCAAGTTTGCCAATGACCTCCATGCGGGGGAGCCGTGCTTAGGGAATGCTGGCGGTCCCCAGGTGGAAACTGAGGCCACTGCAGTTGCCTATGCCATGGCCATTGATCACCGCACGTCCCTGTAATTGGCCAGCGCCCAAATATCTACGTTGGCAATCATGGGCTTTCACCTCTGGTCATGGTCATGGGAGGAGAAGCTGACCAGCACTAGACTGGGAAGCCACCTCATTCCTCCACATGACATCTGCCCTACCTCTCCCACACTTACATCTCTCTGTGGAATCCCAAACTGCTTTAATAATTCTTTCCCATGCTCCATTGAAAGTCTCTTGGGGTCCATCAGGGTTGGTCTGTCCCAAGGACTCTGTTGCTCTGTATGGGAGAGAAAATAAAACCATTGAACTCTGCACATCCCTGGACTTCCCCATGTGCAACACAGCCAGCTCCACCTCTCTGCCCACCAGTCTCCCCTTTTACCTTTTGTTCAAACTACACCTATAGTCTTCTACTAGTAACATACTACAAATCTGAATGAGAAATAAGGTGATGAATTTTTAAAGAATTTCTCCACTAGACTTAACATGTTGTATATACATGAAATACAGTTTCCATAGTTAGAGACCTTATACTGTATACCATAAAACACTTGGAAAAAAATGACCATGTAATTGGGTCCAACAAGAAAATTCAATATATTTGAAAACTGAATATTTTATACTCTATAGTTCTTCTTTGTCATAACTGAATGAAAGTAAATATAACTACATTATTTAACTTCTTTATAAGATTAAGTATGTTCGAACTATTCTCTACATTTCCAGAAATTCTGAAATAAAATTCATAAAAATCAAAAATTAAATTCAAACGAAAGTTATAGAGAGGGAGATAAAAGATAAAGCACTTTGTGACAAAGCTTAGGAGCAGGGTAAACCTGGTTCAGGGGGAAATTTCTTAGTCTAAATGGGTATATTATATACAAACATAAAATTTATAGGAAGTGTTCATCTTAAGATATTGTGGAAACTGGAGCAGGAAAACAAGTGATTATAAAAGGAAGGAAAAAATGGAATTGATTAATTAAAAACTAAATGGGATTAGGAGTACTGGCTGGCTCAGTTGGTAGAGCATGTAGCTCTTGACCTCAGGATGGTGAATTCAAGCCCCACTTAGGATACAAGGTTTACTTTAAATAAATAAATAAATAAATAAATAAATAAATAAATAAATAAATAAATAATAGGATCTAATGGGAAAGTAGTGTAACTCTTGATCTCAGGGTGGTGAATTCAAGCCCCACATAGGACACAAGGTTTACTATAAACAAACAAATAAATAAAATCTAATGGGAAAATAGAGTATAATATAGTATTTCTTTGAAAACAACAATATAGGGATCCCTGGGTGGCGCAGCGGTTTGGCGCCTGCCTTTGGCCCAGGGCGAGATCCTGGAGACCCGGGATCGAGTCCCACATCGGGCTCCCAGTGCATGGAGCCTGCTTCTCCCTCTGCCTATGTCTCTGCCTCTCTCTCTCTCTCTCTCTCTCTCTCTCTGTCTCTCTCTGTGACTATCATAAATAAATAAAAAAATATATTACCACAGGCTGTCATAAACAGATAACAAAATTTATCATAATAGATTATATTAGAAGACGGAAAACATCATTTTCTCATAGAAGTAGGAAGGAAAGGAATCAAGGAATGCTCTAATCTCAGGGCAAACATACTTGAAAATCTAGAATAAAATACGTTTTTCTTCAAAAATTTTTTTAATTTTTATTTATTTATGATAGTCACAGAGAGAGAGAGAGAGAGGGGCAGAGACACAGGCAGAGGGAGAAGCAGGCTCCATGCACCGGGAGCCCGACGTGGGACTCGATCCCGGGTCCCCAGAATCGTGCCCTGGGCCAAAGGCAGGCGCTAAACCGCTGCGCCACCCAGGGATCCCTTTCTTCAAATTTTTAAAAAATATTTTATTTATTTGCGATAGAGAGAGAGGGAAAGAGAGATCAAGAGAGAGAGAGAGAAACCGCAAGTGCACCCGATGGTGGAGGGGAGAGGCAGAAGCAGACTCCCTGATGAGGAGGTTGCCTGATGTGAGGCTCCATCTCAGGACCTGGGATCATGGCCTGAGCCGAAAGCAGATGCTTAACTAATTGAGCCACCCAGGTGTCCCTCAATTTTTTTAAGTAAACTTTGCACCCAATGTGGGGCTGGAACTCCCCACCTCAAGGTGAAGAGTCACATACTGTACTCACTGAGTTAGGAACCCCTCCTGTTCAGATTTTAAATGACCAAAATTGAGTAGTGAGAAAGAATTTCCCAAATATAAATTAAGGTAGAATAATTCTTGCCTTTCCATTGGACTGAGAGTTTCATAGCTACAGTGCTGCTCTGCATCATTTGTGGGTTCATGATCAGGGTTCTGAATTTCAACCAGCTCCAGTTCTAATGTATATATTGGCATAAAAGATAAATTAATAAATAACTTACAGTTTTAAAAATCTAGGTCTGGGTGATCATTCTCTGTAGTGATCTAAGAGTTAGCAATTGTCTAAAAATTAACATTTTTGATATAATTTTGGAATCAGGCTCTGCCCTAAGAAATTCTATTAAACAGTTTATGAATCTTTACTTCAATTTAAAATGGGGGACTCCTGGGTGGCTCAGTGGTTGAGCATCTGCTTTCAGCTAAGGGTATAATCCCCGGGGTCCTGGGATCATGTCCCACATAGGGCTCCCTGCAGGGAGCCTACTTCTCCCTCTGCCTATGTCTCTGCCTCTGTGTGTCTCTCATGAATAAATAAAAAATCTTTTAAAAATTAAAAAAAGAAACCCAAACCCCCAGAATCTAAAATGGCCCCGCTTTCCCTATTTTCTTCCATTTCTGTGAGGGGTAAACAGAGACTCCAAATAGTCACGGAAACTAACCTGTCTGTCGTTGTCCACTCAGATATGTGGATGCTGGGCCCACTCCACTGGACACAAAGGAGTTTCTGGGATGACTGAGAAGGCCAGGTCTTCCACCCGGCTTTTATAGTGCTCGTAATCTCCAGGAAATCCCTTCCCACTAATGCAATCATCCTAATCTAATCTTGTGTGAGCTTATCTTTGTGTGTGAGCTAATCTTTGCCTGTTTGTCCAGGATTGGAAAGGATACTCTATTGGAAGAAATGTTTTATTGTTTACATCATCAGCACTTAACATTGTATCTCATGTATATATATCTGAAATAATACACTATAATTTGGTCTTTGCCATTCCCAGGGATTTTAAAAAGATAGACATATAACTATATATTTTTAACAATATACATGATGCTGAAAATGTTTATGCAAATATTGCCAGTGGGAGAGGTTGTGCATGCATGGGGGCATGGGTTATACAGGAAATCTATGGATCTCTGCTCAAGATTGCTGTGAGCCAAAAACTTTTCCAAAGAATAAAATCTTTTTTAAAAAAAATATTTACTCATATGCCAACATACTGGCTGATTCATTCTGCATCTTTCTTTTTTTAAAATTTATTTATTTATGATAGTCACACACACACACAGAGAGAGAGAGAGAGAGAGAGAGGCAGAGACACAGGCAGAGGGAGAAGCAGGCTCCATGCACCGGGAGCCTGATGTGGGATTCGATCCCGGGTCCCCAGGATCGCGCCCTGGGCCAAAGGCAGACGCCAAACTGCTGCGGCACCCAGGGATCCCTGCATCTTTCTTTAAAAAAATTTTTTTTAATTTTTATTTATTTATGATAGTCAGAGAGAGAGAGAGAGGCAGAGACACAGGCAGAGGGAGAAGCAGGCTCCATGCACCAGGAGCCCGACGTGGGATTCGATCCCGGGTCTCCAGGATCGTGCCCTGGGCCAAAGGCAGGCACCAAACCACTGTGCCACCCAGGGATCCCCATTCTGCATCTTTCTATGGATGGGATAACTTAGTAACCCCAGGCAAGGAGCTCATCGGAAAACAGGACTTTGAAAACTGAGGTGAAGAATGGCTCTGTTTATCCACAGAATCAGAGCCTGGCTCAGATGCTAAGAATGCCAGTAGAGCCAGGGCCAGATTCTGTGATTGCACAGGCGGTATGCTGCTCTTCAACCCCCAGGAGACCTGGAAGCCAGCAGGCTTTGCCATAGAGAAGGATTCCAGGATGACTGGGTATGAGGATGGAGTGGATAAAGGAGATGAGTGGAGCTTAGGAGAGTTCTCAGTGAGGACTTTCCTTGGGTGGGGTCTACATTCCAGTGAGACTCTCCACCCACATGCCTCCTGACTCTCTTAGGACTGGGGAGAGAGGGAAAGCTCTTCACTTGGGAGTCCTTCTGCCAGTGGGTGGGGATGGCATGGGGAAGGGTATATTGATGACTGCATTTCTCAAAACACAGTTATGATTTCTAAGATAATCTCATCTGAAGATGAAGCTCAGAGATTAGGAAGAGAAAGAGAGGGGGTAGGAGGAGGGGAATGACTGGCTTTCAGGTAAATGTCCCATCCTAGATGGAGTACTGTGTTTTCCTCTAAAAATACTGTATTTTTAGGCTTTAAAAACCTTTACTTCTCTACTTCTGATGTTCCTGCCTAATGAGTTTTGAAAATGGCTTTGTTCCTTTAATTCTCATTCAAGTGATGGTCAGTTAATTCAAAAAATAAAAATAGATTATTTTTGTGATTTTATGCATTCTAATTAGAAAAGCATTTAGAATGGTTTCCAGTAAATAATAAATGGTAAAATTCTTTGTTTTTGCTCTTCTCAAGACCACTTAAACCCTATTATTTCTCTAAAATTTCTTGATTACAAAGTCATTCATTAAGTCTTTCCTCAGTCTCTTAATTCCTTGTCACTCAGAGTGTGAACTACAGATTAGCAATACAGAATCATCAAAAATCTGAAAATGGAGAATCTTGGGTCCCACTCAGCATCTCCTACATAAATGTCTGCCATTTAACAAGATCTCTATGTAATTATTGTGTACATGAAAATTGGAAAAGTGCATTTCTAAATCACTCTGTTCTCTCCTGAGAAATAGACAACATTTACTATGTATGATTAAAAACCTCTTAGGTACACATGTAGGTGGATAATAGGTAGACAGATGATAGACAATCTGTGTTGCTCCCACACCTGTATGTTTTGTGTTCTCCAAATGTATTGTACTGATAGTAGTTTAACAAATCTCATGTTATCTCTTTCCATCAGTATCTAAGACTGAATTAAAGAATTTTATTTTCCAAAAAAAGCTATTTTTTGAGTCAATCAGATCATGTGTGTCAACTGAAACGGTTTATACAAACCTCTCATTTTGCCTTGGGACAAATTAAGAAGTCTTCTCTTGAGTCATTGCCAAATGTGTTTTCATTTCAGGAAATGTTGCCCTTTGGATTTTTATGTCCTGATGAAATTGAAAGTGGAAATGCTGGACTCTGTTTAATCTTAAACCAAGATGGAAACACTATGTTTGGATTTCATCCTTGAGAGCTCTGCTATGCAGAGATACATTGGGACTTTGGGACAGAAGCCCTATCTATCCCTGTTCTCACTGAAACTTCAGCCCTGCTCACACTGCTTTGTAGAAGGACAATGTTGTAATCTGTTCTGAGAATCCCTGCCTCATGTTGTCTCCTCATCGCAAGATAATTTATTATTAAGTGGAAAAGTTAAATTCTGGCAGCTGAGAGGAGAGTTGTCTCACTTGATTATTCTGTTTTACCCAAATTCTGATTTTTTTTCAAAAAGTGATTCCTCTTAGGCAGTTGGGAAACAGAATGAGGCGCTTCACCCCACACAGGATCTGTGAAGCACAGAGTCCAGCCTCAACTCAGCTAGGGGCACAAGTCTCCTCAGACAAAACATAGCAGTCTTCTGTCTTCAGAAACACATACCTTTGGGTAGAGATGCACTAACAGTGCAGGCTGGAGACAAAAGTCTCAGGCTTGCATCACAGAGGGATGGAACAGTCACGAAGGAATTTCAAGTACAGATGCTGGAGCAAAAAAAAAAGTGGACCCTCCCCACACCCATCCTGGACCCAACTTGACCCCTCCCTCTTCTCCAGTCCTGAGGACTCTCCACTTCCCCTCTTGTCATATCATGCATAGTATTTTGTATGACTATTTATTCTGCATCCAACCTATACACCATACGGGTCTACCTTCACTCCATGGAAATCTTGGTTTATGATCCCATCCTTTCCACAACCTTAAAGGTCAGGAGATCCATCAAGAGTTTTTGACAAATCTCAGGGATTAATACTCTTCATGATTTTCTCTGTTCTCAACTTAGAGTTCCTCATAAAACCCATCTTTGCCTTCTATCTACACAGACATAGAATTCAGCCCCCAACATCATCAACCCGAAAGAATCCATGTGAAGACCAAATGAATTAGTTAGCCATGTGGCCTTTATTAAAGACTCTGAAAGGGTGGTGGTGGGTGGGGAGTACTACACACCCAGCAGCAAGTTGTGTAAAGATTTTTCATAGCAGTTGTTTAGCTATGGGCCTCCCCCCATGGGCCTCCTCGCTGTTCTGCCATAAGAGTCCTTGGTTCTTCTCCCCCAACTGTTCAGTGCCTTCACTCGTGGCCCCATCTCCTTTGTAATGGGCATTCTCTTGCCCCCAGTATTTTTTTTTAAGATTTTATTTTATTATTTATTCATGAGAGACAGAGAGAAAGAGAGAGACAGAGAGAGACAGAGAGAGAGAGAGAGAGAGAGGCAGAGATATAGGCAGAGGGAGAAGCAGGCTCCATGCACCGGGAGCCCGACGTGGGACTGGATCCCGGGTCTCCAGGATCGTGCCCTGGGCCAAAGGCAGGCGCTAAACCGCTGTGCCACCCAGGGATCCCGGGTTTTAGTTCTAAGGATAGCTTCAACGACACAGATTCCTCACCTTTGTCTTTGTCCATTCTGTCAGTCTTCCTAAAATGCCTGAGGTCTGGAATTGCTGAGACTTCCTTGGTCCCAGGCTCTCCTCCTCATCTGAGCCCAAGGGCTGGGAGACAAGCCCTCCCCACCGCCCCCATCATGGGATACCTCTTAGTCCTCCCCATGTGTCAAAGGCCTGTCAACAGTCCTTGCACATTATCTATGGGTCGAAGAGGAAGGTGGGCAGTGAGTGAACATCCATCACGGGCAGCTTTCAAAGGTTATTATCAAGACGTATTTTTTTATTTGACAATTGGTTTTTCTGGAGGGGACAGAGACATGTGGCCGGTTAACTGTTTGGAAATTCATGATGCAATCAACAACCCATTTTAAATAGGGACAAATGAGGAAAAGATTAAAAGGTCTTAAGATGATGAGAATGATTCAGCTGTCCTTATCAACGCAGATTGTGGATGCTGAGCAAATTCCATGGGGCACAATGGAGGATCCATTATTCAAGATAATGGAGGAGGGATGAGGATGAAGGAAAGCTTCACCCTCCAGCTGGCCTTTATATTGTAGGAGGAGGCCGCTATCAAGCGTTGGCAGTAACTTAATCACCTCAACTCAGTCAACTTTGCTTGAAACATCCACACCCTCCCAAGATATAAAGAGATTATTTCCTGTTTACTTTTCCTCTGCATTTTTATTTTACTAACATGTATATCTGATATCAACTATAATTGATGAGTCTCATTTCCAGGCCTTTAATAAATTCTAACATATATTACATACTGTAAAGAATCTTCAATTCCCCACATCACTGCTAAACCCGGTAATGTCTGAATTTTCACTACTTGTATGTATGTGAAATGGTGGTGGTTTTATTTTCATTTTCTTTATTATCAGCAATGCTATATGTAACATAATATTCATCACAGGTTTACTAACTGATTGTCTTTTTGAATTTTTTTCCCCAACTAATTGTGGATTATTTCCCTTTCCTTTTAATGGATAGACATTAGTTTTTTCTGGATATATTGTTGAGCGATGTTAATTGCAAGTATGTGCTTCCATTTTGTAACTGGTCTTAAATTATATTTTCAGACAGGAGGTACCAGTTGTAATTATATAGTAAGTAATAGTAATGTAGGAATTTTGTTTAGATCATGGTTCAAAAAAACAAAAAATGCATTTAAAAAAACGTGTTGGAGTTATTCGGGAGAATGTGAATATCAACTGAGTATTAGGTGATGTTAAGACATTTAAAAATAGGGGCACCTGGCTGGCTCAGTCAGTAGAATGTGTGACTTTTGATCATGGGGTTTTTAAGTTTAAGCCCCACATTGGGTACAGAGATTACTTAAAACATTTAAAATAAAAATAGGGACTCCTGGGTGGCTCAGCGGTTGAGCTTCTGCCTTTGGCTCAGGGTGTGATCCCGGTGCTGGGATCAAGTCCCACATGGGCTCCCTGAGAGGAGCCTGCTTCTTCCTCTGCCTCTGTCTCTGCCTCTCTCTCTGTGTCTCTCATGAATAAATAAAATCTTTTAAAAAATAAAATAAAAATAAATTAAAAAATAATTTTGTGTTGTGCTAGTATAGGAGGCTTTTTTTTTAATTTTTATTTATTTATGATAGTCACACATAGAGAGAGAGAGAGAGAGAGAGAGAGAGAGAGAGAGAGGCAGAGGGAGAAGCAGGCTCCATGCACCGGGAGCCCGACGTGGGACTCAATCCAGGGTCTCCAAGATCGCGCCCTGGGCCAAAGGCAGGCGCCAAACCGCTGCGCCACCCAGGGATCCCTCTAGGAGGCTTTTAAAAAATATATTTTATTGAATTTCGATTTGCCATCATATAGTATAACACCTCGTGCTCATCCCATCAAGTGCCCTCCTTGGAGCCCATCACCCAGTCACCCCATCCCCCACCCAGCTCCCCTTCCACTTCCCCTTGTTCATTTCCCAGAGTTAGGAGTCTCTCATGTTTTGTCATGCCTGGGAGTCTTTTTATTATCTTTTATGTCCTTGAGTAATTATTTATTAGAGATCAATCTTATAGCTCACAACTTGATTATTAGAGAAATACAGAATTCTAGGATTTGTATCAAAGTATTCCAGCTCCATTTCCCACCCAACCCCCATCACAAAGGAAAAGTTTGGAGTGGATCATCTAAGATTGGCAAAATGCTGACATATTTTGGGGCACCTGAGCAACTTAGTGATTGAGCATCTGCTTTTGGCTCAGGTTGTGATCCTGGGGTCCTGGGATTGAGTTCCCCATCTGGCTCCCTGCAGGAAGCCTACTTCTCCTTCTGCCTATGTCTCTGCCTCTCTGTGTCTCTCATGAATAAATAAATAAAATTTAAAAAAAAAGATGACATATTTTGAAGTGATCTTAAGTGTAAACAAAGATTCTCTTTATTTTCCTTTATTGTGTGAATGCTTGAAATTTCCATATTAAAAGCTTTAAAGAAGATAAATCAATACTGGGCAACTATCTTCACCATTAATACTTTTTAGTTCATTGCTGCCTTCATTTTTATACAAAGATGTATTCGTCAGATGTACTAATAGGTAAGATTGACTTGTAAATTTTCCTACGGTGATATCCAGTCAGTCCTTAAAGATCTAGGGCATCTTTTGGCAAGGATGGGAACATGGGAGAGAAATACTCCACTTGCATAATGGGTCTCATAGACATTTTTTTTTAAGTCTGATTTTCCTGTGACTTACATAGAATGAAATTATCAGTGAGAAGGATACTGAAAACATGTTTTTCACCGATATGGAAGAAACCCTTCTGATGAGCCTACGTAATCCTCTTGCCCTTCCTTGGGCAGCACTCGCTTCTCATTTCACCAGGGAAGAAGCCACAGAATCTAGCAGGGTCTTAAATACTTGTGACTGGGAGTTGGGCCAGAAAAAAAGGGAAGAGTCTTCTCCATCTTTTCTATCCCTCTGCCCCTAGTTTTGCTGTCCTGCTTTTTTGACACCATGACAGGACCCTGCAAAGGACCCTTAGCTGTGTGAGGCTCCGCAGCAGAAGTACAACCCCCAACATCCATCCTCTCAGACCAGTCCAGGTTCTGAAAGGTGACAAGAAGATGGAATATTTCCAGCCAATCAGAGCAAGCCACGCCCTTGGGGGGGGCTATAAAAGGCAGGTCCTACCAACCAGTCCACACTTGGGTGTCCGAACGTCACAGAGGGAAGATCGTCCCTGTAGACTTTAAGATGCACTTGGGAATTGAAGGCATAGACGCCCACAGCCCCTCCATGCAACACCCCACAGACCAGATGCCCTGCCAGCAGAACTCTAAAGAAAGAGGCTCAGATGTGGAGGAGAAATCACTCGAAGGAAAAGAGGAGACGTTCTCTTCCCTGTTAAGACAGGGTTGCACCCAAAGGCAAGGTAGGAATCTCGGTGGTTTGTGTATGGGGGCTGGAAGGGGGGGTTAGGGGTCAGGATTTTATTTTGAGATAGGGGATAGGAAGTGTCACCCAGCGCTCAGGGGGGCCTTGGGAAACATGGCAATGATCCCCTGGAACCATATTGTTCTGGTTCACCTTTGACACTGGCTGAACAACCTCAGTTGAGAGAACTGTCCACCGATTGGGATCAGGGATGGACTAGGGAGTTCTGTGGACCTTGCCTGAGGCCAGTCACCTAAACTATTTCCTCCAGGGTCAGAGCCGGAGACAGATGAGGAGAACTCCAAGGAAACTGAGCTCAAAAGACACAGCAGTAGCTCTGGATCAGGTAAGAATTCGTTTTCCTGGGGAGGAGGGACAGGACATGGGTTGACTCAGTCTCCCGGGTCAGGGAGACTTGCAGACTCTGGATCCTAGGAACAGATGGGGATGTAGTTTTGGTTGCCAGCATTGATCCTTGTGTGCCCAGGATGGACTGGTGTGTCCTGGGTGTCCTGTTGCAGACAGTCACAAAACTTTGTCTACAGAATTGGAAGGCTGCTCCAGTTGGGAGGGCTCCAGGAAGAGGAAAATCAGTTCCAGTGACAGCACCTGTGATAGAGCAGGTAGGATCTTGTTTTGGGCTGGGAGGTGTATGGACAGGAAAGCAGGTGAGATATGGAGGGCGTCGGCATGGAGGGGGTTGTTGGGTGGTTGAAGGGAGTTAGGAAACTGGAATCAGGGGAGCATTTGGGGACCCATGATGGGCATCAAGGAGATGGGGCCGAACAGAGTAGGAGACTGGTGGAATTCACCCAAGGGAATAGGGGTCCACTCTTGCAAGTCATTCATCCACATGCTTCCTCTGCAGGGGCCTCTCCAGCAGATGAGGGCAGTGTGACTCCGGAAAAGAAGAAACGGAGGGCGTCTGACCACTGCCGCAGCAGCGAGAGCCCGGGGACCGCGCCCGCCCGCCCCGGGAGACGCTGGGCGCGGGGCTCAGGGCGCAGCAGGCGGGGCAGACACAGCCTTCGGGGAGACCGGCCGCCTCCACTTCGGAAGGCACTGGTGACCACCCTGCGCGCCCTGTCTGAGGCCATCTATCAGGACGTCGCTCAGGTGTGCGAGCTGCAGAAGCATTCCCCGCTGACCTGGGAGGAGCAATTCGGACTCCGGCAGCTCTGGGGGCCTCTGTACTCGGCTTTGCAGACCATCTACACCATGGCCAACCAGGCGGCCTACGCCTTCCCGGCCGAGAGCTGGCTCCTCCCAGGCCCGCCGCCGGGCCCCGGGCCCCAGGCTCCAGATGCGGATGGACGAGAAGCCCTGGGCTCCCCGGGGTAGAGACGCGGGCCCACCCCTCCCCGGGGCCAGAACTAGGCTGCCGCAGCTCGGTTAGGGTCGCAGAGCCGTGCGTGCAGCTCTTGCAGCTCCGGGGGTGAGCCCACAATCCTGCTACCGCTCAGAGTCCCAGAAACCAGCAGGGCGTGTTTTAGACACAAGGTGTCAGTAAGTGATAGAACTTGGGGTCCTAGGAAAGGTACTCGAAACATGGACTCAGAATGGGGAGATGATGAAGTTTCAATTTCATGTTAGACATTTTCCTGTATTTTGAGAATCTTAAGACAGCCAAGCGCTATTTTATGAGAACAAAGATCAGGGTGCAATTCATATGTATTTGCGTATTCTAAGTGTAGTGAAGTAAGCATGCTTATATCCTCCCCTTTGATACTGAAAAGGCTGTAAGTCTTCCCACTCCAGGACTGGAGGCCACAGGCCGGGGTAACATTCTGTATGGAGAAGATGGCTGTATTTATTGTTCAGTTTGATGAACTCATGGTGAAGTCACCATGTTCAGTTATTTTATATAAAACGTGAGTCAAGATATATTGTAAATGACCATATGTATTTATTCTTACAGCTGGCTCATATTATATGCCTAATTTAAAATTTTCTTCTATTTTATAAATTTCAAGTTATCCTGCTTATGAGAGGATATTAAAACTAGTGTAGTCATTTTTTATAGATTTTATTTTACATGGTTTCCTATTTGTATTTTACACTGAGATCATGCAGTCTTTCATCAAGTAAATGTATATAATTTTATGTAAGAAAATAAACATTTTGGGGTATTATGTTTGGTTCAGGATTTCCCTATTACATGTGATGAAATAAAAATGCTTTTCATGTATTCTGTTTATCCAAATGGAGTTTGTCTTATGGCAGGTGTGGGTTAGGAGGCTGCTTTCTTTTTACATCTACTTTATTTCCACCTTGACTTTTCTCTGCCTCGTAGCTCTTATTATAGGAAGGGAATAGCAGTTAATCATCCCAATGAGTGGGGCAATTCAATGATAGTATATTACAAATCAATTTGAACCCATGACATGGCTTCAAATTATATGAAATAAATGCCCACATATGTACAAAAATTACAATTTGCAAGTTATATTTGGGGGTTGGGAATATAGTTACAAAAGGATCAGAAAAATAAAATTTTAAATAATTACAACAAAATAAAATAAAATATCTGAGAATAAATCCAATAAAAATGTATCAAATGTATATAAGAAACCATGTAAAATTTCTGAAATATATGAAAATAGACAACAAAAATAAAATCACATCACTGTTCTTGGGTAGGAAAACTCCATATTATCAAACATCAATCCCTAAGCTAATTATATAAATTTAATTTGGTCCTGATACAGATACCATCAATTACTCATTGGAGCTAGGCATGTTATTGCAAAAAAAAAAAAATCTTACAGATGAAAATACAAATAAGGATAGGCAAAAAAAAAAAAACTGAAAAAAATGAGGATAAAGTTTTAGTTAGGCAAGATGAATAAAATCCAGAGTTATACAATATGTATAATATTGTACATATAATCACCAGTGTATTGTACACCTAATCTATTAAGATGGTAGGTCTCATGTTAAGTGTTCTGAAAAATAAAAAAGAGGAAAAAAAGGATAGCTAGCTCTATGAAACATGTTGTTTCCTAAATTATGTAGATCAGTAGAGATAAAAATTCAAAAATAGGTCAAAGTATTTGAGAAAGTTAATAAGCAATAAAATATGGGGGATGACATCATTAATACTTGGGGTTTGGGAACTTGATATTACCATCACAAAGTAAGAAATTGATTTACTCTTCACATCCTATAACAAGGTAAAGATTCAATGAGAAATACAACCATATGGACAAAAAAAAAAGCCTCTTTTCAATATAGACTCGCCTATTAAATTGAAATAGAAAATATAGGGATGCCTGGGTGGCTCAGTGGTTGAGCCTGCTTCTCCCTATGCCTATGTCTCTGCCTCTCTTTCTGTCTTACATGAATAAATAAAATCTTAAAAAAAAAGAAATAGAAAATACACACTGACTCCTTCCTGCTGCCAGGACAGTGGGCTCCATGTAAAGGTCATGGCAGCCAGTACACATGGGAGGGAGGCAACCAGATCCTAAGCTACGGGTTTGTGGTTCTGTGAACTCTCCTCTCCTCAATACTGCAATAATCATTTCACCTGTGGTGGCAGGGAGAGATCAGGCTTGGGGAACTGAGAATATTGTTGAAAAAAAATTTTTCGCCTCATTTGCCACTTGCCAAAAAACAATTACAAATTCCCAGTTAGCATCTCTTGAGTGCTTGAGAGAGGCTCTCTCTTCCACAAGCCCTGGTGGTAAACAAGTGTTCAGGAGGAGGGCAGAAAATGCTGAGGTCTGATAGGTGAGGGGCTGTTAGTGAAACATCTGAATTTCACTGAATTCTCTGCTTCGCTGAGAAATTCTACTCAAAATAGGGTTCTTTTTAAAAATATTCAGATCAAAAAATAAATAAATAAAAATATTCAGATCACTGAGATGCTGTATCATTTGAAGTTATAAGCACAGAAACGAAATAAAAGTGCCTGAAAAGGATTTACAGGGTTACAATCAAAGAGAATGAACAGTAATTTATGTTAGGAATCATTGGACTCATTTGCACAAGTCATGGTCAATCTATTTGGAAATGTAGATGATATGGAAATTTGTTAGGAAAATATGCTTTACTAATATTGATCTTCCTAGTGGTAACAGTCTAAACAGAAAAGTGTCTACAAAAAGGAAGTTTATGAGACCCTCACAAATGAAAGCACCAGGATCAGATGGTTAACATGGGCAGATTCTAACATTCCTTTAACTTTCATATGAGCCAATACTCATTTAAATAGCATTGGGTACTTACCACATCTTTCCACAGTTGTGTTTTTGCTGAGTTTTCAGTATTGAGCTCTGATTGCTTTTATTATAAATCAAGAAACAGGAGGTCAAATTAATCCTTTGTTTTCCCTACACACAAATTCACAATTTGATCCATGCCTACTATCTAATACTCTGCATACCCAAGTCAGAGATTAGAGCCATAATGGTGGACAACTCTTAGTTCACAGACACACAAATACACAAACATTACACACAGAGGCAAACACACATGCCTATGTACAAAATACACTCAAATGCACAGCCATATACCCTCACACACTTACACACACTCCACGGCAAACTCACACTCATGGACACGTTCATCAAAAATAAGCATACGCTCACATTTACACACATCGCCCCCACTCTCCCGTTCCCAGTCCCATGGATGTAATCACATTCATACAGTCAGCATGCACACATGTATCTCAGTAACGTGCTCATATGTGGAAGAATACAAGAACCTCTTGACCTTCACTGGCTGAAAGTGGGAGGAGAGGAGTTCTTTCCACCTTTTTCACTTCTCCCACCCCTGCAACAATCCACGAAGATGATATTTACCATGTGCAATATTTTAAAGTGCTGTGAGCATTGCTGCTGTAGGTCTGGGTAAGCGGGACAGAGTGGAATAGATAGAGCAGGTGGGCAATAGATCAGGGTACAAATGAGGACAGGGGGAGGGGGTTATAGCGGTGTGCAGAGAGCATGGGAGTATGGAGGAATAGAGGAAAACTCTTCAAAGGTGTGTCATGCTATAATACTTGATAAATACAGATAGTACAGAAAAGCAAGGGGGAGGCTAAAATGAACCCTAAAGTACTGGATCAGAGTCAGGGACATATGAACATATATTTAGCTGTAGATACGCAAGTAGACAGGTAGATAAAGAGAAAACTATGGATATATGTGTAAACAGAGATTTCCTAGGTCAGTCTACTCAGAGGGCCTAACAGCAATGATATGCTAGGAGCAAGGAGTACACCCAGCACCCATATCTCATTTCTTTTCTTTTCTTTTTTTTTAAGATTTCATTTATTCATGAGAGACACACAGAGAGAGGCAGAGACATAGAGGAAAAAGCAGGCTCACCATAGAGAGACTGATGCAGGACTCGATCCCAGGACCCCAGACTCATGACCTGAGCCAAAGGCAGACCCTCAACCACTGAGCCACCCCAGTGTCCCCTCCTATCTCCTTTCTAACACTGCTTGCTAATCAAAGGCTCCTTGGAGATAAGGCTGTTCCATGGCAGGAGCAAGGAGAATACAAGATGAGCCTGAAGGATCTTGCAGTGACAAAACGTTAAGAGTAAGGAAGTGCTCAAAAAACAAAAAACTGGGGGGTGGGACACCTGGGTGGCTCAGGTGGAGGATCTCAGGGTCTTGGGATCAGCCCCACCTCTGGCTCCCTGCTCAGTGGGGAGTCTGCTTCTCCCTCAGCCTCTGCCCCACCCCCACTGCGCTCGTGCTCTCTCTCTCAAATAAATAAATAAATAAATAAATAAATAAATAAATAAATAAATAAAATCTTTTAACAACAACAACTGGGGACATATCAAAGGGACATAGTAGCCAAACCTGAAAGGTCTGTACACCCTGTCACCAACTGTTTGATACCAGTGGGTGGGGGTGGGGGTCCTGCAATTCCACGTAATTTTTTTAAATTTACTTATTAATGAGAGACACACAGAGAGAGGTAGAGACACAGGCAGAGGGAGAAGCAGGCTTCATGCAGGGAGCCCGATGCAGGACTTGATCCCAGGACCCTGGAATCACTCCCTGAGTTGAAGGCCGACATTCAACCACTGAGCCACCCAGGTGCCCCAAATTCAATGTAATTCTGACATTATCTGGTTAGTACAGACCCCACAAGTTAAGGGCAAAGTCGTTTCCGAGACTGCCCTCAGTGACAAGCCACCACTCACAAGGCAGGCTTTCCCAAACCTCCAGTGCATCTGCCAGCGAGCTACAGATTTAAGGCTTCCCACAACATGCTCCACCCCCTCCACCCCCAGTTGGATATTTGCTGGGAAGACTCACAGAACCTCGGAAAGTGCTATACCTATGAGGATCCTTGATTAAGTTAATTTGTATATTGGGACCCACAAAACAGGTCACCACAGTGGCCCAACCCACATCACAAATCTAAACTTAAGTCAGCCTGCTCTTCTGTGAAACGCCCAGCAAGGAAAACCGCACACACACCAACCAACCACAGTCCTCTCTCTCTCTCTCTCTCTCTCTCTCTCTCTCTCTCTCTATATATATATATATATATATATATATATATATAGACACACACATTTTTATTATACCATGGCTCCCAATGACCAAAACTAGAACAATTTTTTTAAGCGACCATCAACTTTATTTTTTTTGTATATATTTTTTATTGGAGTTCAATTTGCCAACATCTAGCATAATACCCAGTGCTCATCCTGTCAAGTGCCCCCCTCAGTGCCTGTCACCCAGTCACCCCATAAAACGAGAACAATTCAAGCAACAAAATAAATTACATAGCAGTGAATTATAGCACAAAGTATAAGTCTAAATCAGTTGAAGAAACAAATAAATGAGGGTGAAATGACCCAGCTTCCACACAGAATGGCAAATAATATATGGGGTTACTTAGCTCTCCAGGAAGTGATGCTTAATTCAACATCCCACACCTACCTCCAAGCACCCCCCCTTCTTCCACTACACTTGACTGTGGGTTGTGCTTACAGTATCCCAAAGAATAGAGTACAGCAAGGCATGCAGAGTCATTTTTCAGTGGAGAAGCCTAAACACTGTTTAACTAACAGATAAAGATTAACATCATCCAAGATAACCCATGTTAACTTCGTGAACCTCTCAGGTGGGATGCTGTGATGAGATGTGATATTTTTCTCCAAAACCCATAAACCAAGTCTATCCATGAGAAACACTTCAGACAAATTCAACTTCAGAGGCATTCTAAAATGTATGGGACCAGTACTCTTCACACCTGTCATGATAAACAAGGAAAGTCTGAGAAAATGTCACAGAGCAGAAAAGACAGGGGGACACAGGATGACTACATATAATGTAATGTCCTGGACTGGATCCTGACAGAGAAAAATGACCATGTTAAAACAGTTGAAATGTAAATAACGTCTGGAGTTTAGGTAATAGTAACATACTAATGTTGGTTCCTTAGTTTTGACAAATCAACTATGGTAAAGTTAAGATGGTAACATTTGGGGTACTATGGGAGAGACATTCTGGAACTCTCCATGTTACCTTTACAAATTTTCTACAAATCTAAAGTTATTCTAAAACAAAATGTTTACTTTAAAAATTGCAAATGTTTATGATTTAATAAGAGGCTTACGTTACAATATTTCTTTTTAAAAAATATTTTATTTTGGGGCAGCCTGGATGGCTCAGTGGTTTAGTACCATCTTTGGCCCAGGGTACAAATCTTGGAGACCTGGGATCGGGTCCCGCATTGGGTTCCCTGCATGGGGCCTGCTTCTCCCTCTGCCTGTGTCTCTGCCTCACTCTCTCTCTCTCTCTCTCTGTCTCTCTCTGTGTGTGTGTCTCTCATGAATAAATACATAAAATCTTTTAAAAATATTTTATTTTTAATTAATCTCTGTACCCAATGCGGGGCTTGAACTCATGATCCTGAGGTTAAGAGTCACATGCTCTACCCCCTGAGTCAGACACCCCTAAAATATGTTTGAGTTAATATCCTTTTATTTTTCCTTTCAAGTGTGTCCATTTTGCTCTGGTGGCAATTTCAAAAGTGCTAATACTCCTTGTTAAACCAAAATATATTCATATCTTCAGCTTCAAATGGCTACTCATCTACTGTGCCAAGTTTGACAAAATGCTCCTCCGTAACCGCTGGTATCTTCAAGTCGGAAAAGCAGAAATCCATTTTGAAGTCCTTTTTGCCAATATCGTCAACCGCCATCAAGATTTATCATAGAACAATCTACTTTCTAGACATCCCCAAAGTCCGTTCAATCTCTTCCTACACGCTCAGTCTGTTTACTGGCTGCCTCCCACCTGCACCCTTTGTAAAATTCAGCTGACACATCTTCCTATGTTCCTCTTCATTCTCTGCAGTTTACTCTTCAAATGGTGACTTGAAAATATTTTAATATGCTCATCTTTCTCCGTAAGCGTTATCATATTTCAAATGTCCCCAATTTCTCTTAGGATGTAAAGCACAATATTCGCAACACAGCCTTCAAAGCCAGGAATAAGTAAAACCTGATTTTAACTTCCAGCTTCACCCCAGGCCATTTGCATCACAAATCAGGACCCCTGCTCCCACTCCCAGTTTCTGGACAGAGTTACCCACATGCTACTCCTTCTTATCCAACTGTCTTTACAATTCCAAGCTCAGGTACATCTTAGGAAAATTTAATATCTCAATTTGAAAGTTACACATTCAAAGATATTTCCAGTATTTTCACATTATTTCAGGACTGTTCTATGGAATCTTAGCTTCTCTACTTTAACCATTAATACAAATGCAACTATATAAGTACACATATGTTAGTTACAAAGGGTCCATGTTCTGTGCTATTGTTATTTACTATTTTATACTAGGCCCCTGTCATTCTGTTTCACTCACCCCTCTCTCTGTTCTTAACATGCTTTGAGGTCTGAATGCATCCATGACTGAACAGGTGGAGGATAATTCATATTTCTCTGATGAGATGAGGGAATTATGTATTTCTTCCAAAGCAGACACAGTAGAGCCTGGATGTGCTGGGGTCATGGTTCATGAGAAAAAAAGGACTAACAGTTGGAAAACCTGCAGTGATTAGTACAGCAGTGGTTATCAGCCACCAACTGTACTCATCAGAGAGAGCCAAGTAAACATAAATGATGGAGGAGAGAGAATAAAATGATACAAAGGGGCTCACCAAAACAAGGATGCTCTGGGTGGCTCTGGACTCAGGGGAGGGTCTCAGGGGGAGCGTGTTCCTATCAATGTGTTGGACCCTCTGCCTGTGCCTGTGAAGGAGGAAGACCATGGAGCTGCTGGCCAAGGTCATGAGTCCCAAGCATAAAATGTCATGGAAAGATGTAACTATGACATACACTAAGTCTGTGATCTTGGCACGATACTGTGAAGCAGAACAATATCCCAAAGCTCTTTTCTTTGTAATATTTTTGTTTCTCCATTTACCAGTCATATAAATAGGAAAGAACATATTTACCACCATGTGGAGCACCCAGCAGAGGATACTGGAGGGACCAATGTACTTTGGAACTTTCACTTTAAGCTCTGCCCACCTGGAGTTCCCAGGGTGGATCATGATAGCCTGTAAGACATTCAAGAGGCAGGTGGAGTAAATGGACATACCTCTGGCTACTCTGTGAACATACAAAAAAATGGAGCATCCATAATAATTGTTGAAATATTTCAACCCTAAAGCTGCCATGGTTTCTGGGACTCCTCTGGAGAGAATGACCAAGGAATTGGCTACAGTCAGGTGCCTAAGAATCAAATCTGTGGATCTTGGCTTGCATCTGCTGAAGCAAAGGGACGTGTAATGATATAAGAGTGAGGAATTCCCCAGGAACTAAAAGACAACCTACAGAATGGGAGAAGAAGATATTTGCAAATGACGTATCAGATAAAGGGCTAGTTTCCAAGATCTATAAAGAACTTATTAAACTCAACACCAAAGAAACAAGCAATCCAATCATGAAATGGGCAAAAGACATGAACAGAAATCTCACAGAGGAAGACATAGACATGGCCAACAAGCACATGAGGAAATGCTCCACGTCACTTGCCATCAGGGAAATACAAATCAAAACCACAATGAAATACCACCTCACACCAGTGAGAATGGGGAAAATTAACAAGGCAGGAAACAACAAATGTTGGAGAGGATGCGGAGAAAAGGGAACCCTCTTGCACTGTTGGCGGGAATGTGAACTGCTGCAGCCACTCTGGAAAACTGGGTGGAGGTTCCTCAAAGAGTTAAAAATAGACCTGCCCTACGACCCAGCAATTGCACTGCTGGGGATTTACCCCAAAGATACAGATGCAATGAAACGCCAGGACGCCTGCACCCTGATGTTTATAGCAGTGATGTCCACAATAGGCAAACTGTGGAAGGAGCCTCGGTGTCCATTGAAAGATGAATGGATAAAGAAGATGTGGTTTATGTATACAATGGAATATTCCTCAGCCATTAGAAATGACAAATACCCACCATTTGCTTCGACGTGGATGGAACTGGAGGGTATTATGCTGAGTGAAGTAAGTCGATCGGAGAAGGACAAACATTATATGGTCTCATTCATTTGGGGAATATAAATAATAGTGAAAGGGATTAGAAGGGAAGGGAGAAGAAATGGGTAGGAAATATCAGAAGGGGAGACAGAACATAAAGACTCCTAACTCTGGGAAATGAACTAGGGGTGGTGGAAGGGGAGGATGGCGGGGGGTGGGGGTGAATGGGTGACGGGCACTGAGGGGGGCACTTGATGGGGTGAGCACTGGGTTAAGTTTAAGCTTTTAAAAAATAAGTTAGTTTTGGAAATTGAGACACATTACTAATACTGTAGGAATTGGTGAGGCCTTGACTTAAAACTTTCTTTGTACTGTGATTTCCTTTTGGGTGTATTTTGCTAAGTGAAACTTGTTAAATTTTTTTGTTAACTAAATTTTTTTCTTAAAATAAAGATTTTTTCATAATGAAAAAAATGTATGTTGGCAAATTGAACACCAATAAAAATAAATTTATTATTAAAAAAACAAAAAGAATAACATGATAAACAAGTGAAATTTATGTCTAGAATTCAAGAATGATTTGCTATTAGAAAATTCATTAATATTGTTCATCATATTTATTAAGAGAAATCAAGAAATCTTACTTGTAGTTACAAAAACATTATTTGGGAGAATTAAACATGTATGGATGTTAAAACACTAGAAATTAGGGGCACCTGGGTGGCTCAGTGGTTGAGCATCTGCCTTTGGCTCAGGTCATGATCCTGGGGTCCTGGGATTGAGTCTTGCATAGGGCTCCCATCAGGAAGCATACTTCTCTTTCTGTGTCTCTCATGAATAAATAAAATCTTTAACCCCCCCCCCCACACACACACACATACGCACACACTTGAAATTAGGAATTGATGGATCTTTCCCAACTTGACAAAATGAAATCTTCATCTTGCTGGTAGGGAAGCAGTAGACATATTCCACTAAGGCCAGAAACCACACTAAAAAAGCACATGATCACCCTGTTCTACTCATTTATCATTGTGCTGGAGGTTTAGCTGGGGCAATTTAAAATGGCATAATAATTAGAAACAAAGATGTAAAACTATTTTGCAGATGATACAAGTGTAAGTCTGGAAACACGAAGAAACTGGTAGAAAATCTATTACAAACAATAATTCAGTAAGCTAATAGGATATAATATTGTTATACAAAAACAACAACCTTTTTTGTACATAGGCTATTTTATTTTTAAGTAATCTCTATACCCAATGTGGGACTCGAGCTCATGACTTGCATATTTCATATTAATAAGTAGTAAGTGTATATAGGATGCTACTGGAATGTGAAAAAAGTTTTACTATTTCCTTGTATTGGTCACATAAAGAACACACATCCTTATCACATGTCTCTGGAAGTACTTCCAAACTAATATTTCATCAGTACCAGGAAAAGTTAAATTTATCTGTAAAAGAGTGCACCTTTCGCAAATCTCGTTATCTGCACTTGACACAAAGCATGCAGAAACAGAAAACGAAAAGATCAGTTAAAATACCTAATCTTCAAGTTAAAAATACTCTTCCAAAGTAACTGAGAATGAAGATTTTTTTAGGAAATTGAAATTGCAACCATATTTAGTAATTAATACAAAACTGCACATTCCCCACAGAGCAGCTCTGCATTCCGCATTCTAGCTTCCATCAACCCCCATGGACCACTGGGCTTTTGCTCAATTAAGGAGCATCTGGGTTGCTCAGCGGTTAAGCGCTTGCCTCCGGCCCAGGGCGTGATCCTGGAGTCCCACATAGGGCTCCCAGCATGGAGCCTGCTTCTCCCTCTGCCTTTGTCTCTGCCTCTCTCTGTGTGTGTTTCTCATGAATAAATAAATAAAATCTTAAAAAAAAATAAATTAGGAGCTGTCTCTGTCATATCGGTCGCCTCGTGCTCAGTTTCTCAAATACCGCAGGTTCCAATAAAACCAGCTCGCACTTCCTAATGTACCCAGCCTGGCTCCAAGGGACACCAATCGGTACTCAAAGGAATTCCGCAGCAGCACCTGAATCCCCCCGGGAGGGAGCGAAAGAGGGAGAGAAAGAAGTACAGAAAAGTTAACCGCCGGACGCCACACGCGCAAGCGCAGAGCGGCCCGGCTCCCGCCCGGCGGCGCAAGCGCACGCGCACGCGCACGCCCGCCTTCCTGCAGACCCGGAAGCGGATCGCGCGGAGCTACGGGCGCTCGGGTGAGTGAGTCTCCATTTTTCTGGTTCGTGCCGCGGGCGCGTTCATAAGGCCCCTCCTCCCTACCCAGTTTCGGGGTCGCCTGGTAAGGTAAAATCCTTGAACCCACTCGTTCCTGTCGCTGGGAGGGCGCCCCTTTCGCCTGTCACGGCGTCGCCGTAGGACGTTTCCGAGTCCTGTCGTTCGGTGCGGGACCCGGGAGTCTGCGTTTGTTTCCAGTTGAAATCGCTCTGAGGCAGGTACCGGGCCCAGCCTTGCTGCCGTCGGTCCTTGTAGACACCGATCGCCCTTCTGGTCGCTTTCCTGCTCAGAACGTTGCTCCGATCCCCGATTCTGCCCCCCGCCCCGTCCCCACCCCCAACTGCGTCGGTATGGTGGTCGCTCGGGAGGTGGATGCAGGCCCTGCGCCCCGCTCCAGGGAGGGCAGAGGGGCAACGCAGATGGCGGGGAAGAGGCAGGAACCGGCGGAGTTAGGGGGCTATCGGAAAGTCTGGGGAGGAAGAACCGCAGGGATCGAAAGTGGTTGCCGCAGAGTGGGGTCAGGCTGTTGGAGGCGGAGTAGGTAGGGAGGGAAACAGAAGGATGCGGAAACAGAGAGGGAAACACAGATGGACAAAAGGAGAGAAGAGAAACAAGAACAAAGAGACACAGAACAAAACACATAGTGGTCTCGGAGAAAGCCCAGGACCCAAACCCAGGTGAGTATTGAATTGACTGGATGTAGACTATAGAGTTGTGAAGTGCTGATTTGTGCCTCTGTAATTAAAATTTATTGAATTGTCTCAATTATGCAGAAGAGAATGAGAATGTGAAACCAAGTGTTTGAGGCATCTGCATGTTCTAATGATTGCATCAGAGGATGAGTCCATTTGCAAGCCCTATTCCTCTAGAGGGCAGAGGCCTAGCTCAGTCAGATCCAGGTCATCCTCTTCGTTTCAAGAAATGGGGGAAGACTTTATGTCACCACATGGTTTTTTTCAAAATGACCTTTTTTTTTTTAAAGGTTTATTTATTTATTTATTTATTTATTCATTCATTCATTCATGATAGAGAGAGAGAGAGAGAGAGAGAGGCAGAGAGAGGCAGAGGACACAGGCAGAGGGAGAAGCAGGCTCCATGCCGGGAACCTGACGCTGGACTCGATCCTGGGACTCCAGGATCGCGCCCTGGGCCAAAGGCTAACACTAAACCGCTGAGCCACCCAGGGATCCCTCAAAATGACCATTATTAAGAGTACTGTTTCTCTCTCCTTTATCCTGTGGCTCATTCTTTTCTCAATTTGATGTATCCTCACACTTGTTTCAATTTTGATCTCAGAATCCACTGGATATCTTTAATTTCCAAATTATTTGCCGCCTTAATTTTTTGTTCATATTACGAGTTTTAAATGCTTTCTATTTATTATTGTTTGATGTCTGGTAAATAACTTTTTAGTAGTTCATTATGCATCTGGTAGGGATGTTGATAATCTTTTAACACTCAAAATCTACTTTAGCCAGTTAGTTTAATATTCAGCAGTTCCCTTCTTCCCTTAAGTGGTCTGATTAATGACTGAACTCTGAACAGAAGTCTCCAACTAAGTAGATGTTTCCCTCAAGTTCCCCTTGCATTTTGTATGCAGATGTTGGAAAGGTGGGCTGGATTGATGTGGAACTTTATTCCAGCAGAGCCCATCTGTTTATGATGCAGAGATTGTTCAGATTTCATCTCCACAGGTGACCCTTTTTCATGTTTTTCAGGACTAGTAACCATTGTCCATTTCATTTATTTTTATTGTATTTTTTTCTGGAAAAGAAGAATTAAGTGCTTGGTTTTGATTAAACCCATGAAAGAGAACATGAAAGGTAATGTGGAATTAGGACAAGTTCTTTCTCCTTAAACCTTTCTAGGCTACCATTTCAGAATTTACTTCTACCCATTTCTGCTCACTCAATTCAGACCTCTTAAGGGTAACTTGGTAAAAATACTCCCTCTGAGACATAGTGCAGACAACTGTGACATGAAGATGATAGACCAGAAATTCTGAATTTGAGCTAATAAGATCGCTGAAATGATTTTCAAAATTGGGGATGTGTTTGTCTTTGGAGGTTTCTGGGAGAGTGTGCCCTGTTACAGAGTTTAAAATGTGATAATGAACACCACTAAAAAAGAGGCAGGAGCATAGTCTTAAGAGACCAAGGCATGCTCCTCTCAGCTCCTATTCTCTCTCTGTATTGTAACTAAATCTTAAATTTGATTTTGTCATCTCGATATTAAATCTGCTTATAGGTTACCATAACCATTAGGACAAAAATCTAAACTCTTGCTATCGCTTCCAGGTAGCTCCGGAGTGGGGGTAGCCTTAAGAGTTTGTCCAAATTGATGGAATGGACAGGCTTCTGTATTTCCAATCAACCATTCATTGGATGCTGGCTGCCCAGGGAGAAGCCAGGAACTTGAATGATGCAGTTCCTCTGGCTGAGTGGACAAAGGATGATGCAGTTGCAGTAGAATATATGGGTTTCAGCAGGAGAGGAGAGCTTTCTGAAGAAATGGCTGAAAAATGCACTTATTGCCTTCCATATAGGAGTTACTGTTCCTGCATCCCTCCTGTTGCAGTAAGCAGCAAAGGACTGTCTTTCTCCCATATTAAGGTTCTCCCAGTATGTATATTGTGGCAGAGGAAGGGGTTATGTTGATTCTGACCGTTAACATACTTTTTGTTACACAGAATAATCTTACCTGAGAAAGAAGCCTGGAAGAAGAGAGAAAAAGGGAGGAATGGCTTTTTCCCAGGTAAAAGTCAGATTTTAGTTGATTGTTCTCCTTCTTAAAATGTTACATTTTGGACTTGCTAATCTTTCCTGTCTCCGAAGTATCCTGCCTAAAATGTTTACTCACAGCCAGGGCCTTCTCCCAATCTCATCTCTATGCAGATTCCATCTCACTATTACCTAGAACATAGAACTTGAGAAGAGACTCCTTTTAGGTGGTCATCTTGTGAAGGATCTTCTGTGCAGGCATTGACTGGAGATAGGATATAGGCTTTGTGGTGTCAGGGAGGTTGGGCATTAAGAATTCTTCAGAAACTCCTGGATGCCTTTTCAGTTCATGTAAATCAAGATTAAAGAGATTACATGTGTAAGTGATGAATTAATGTGCACAAATACCTGAGAAACTCTGGAAAAGAATGATGGGGGATATTTGCTGTGTCTAATTTTATAAATGTCTTTTGACATTAAACAAGGAAATCAGTATATTTCTGACTCCAGGATATTAATACTTTGAAATATAATGGGAAGTTCAAAGTAGGAATAAGGAATAGGGAGGGTGTTTTGTTTTATTAACAATTCATTTTAAAATATAGAATCAACCTATTTGTCTAATGGTAAGTGTTCTTTAAATGATTCATAGCACACCCATCTCATATAAAGACCATAATGTTCATTTACAAACTCTTGCACAGTAGATCTTTTAGATAAAAATGTTTATAATTTAGCCAAGATATAGGACCAGAACTTTGTCATCAGAGAGGCTGGAGCTAAGTTTTGATATTACTAATTGTTAAATTTTTGGGGTTTTTGGTGTTGTGTTTTGTTTTCTGTATTAAACCTTTATGGTGTATATTTTTTGTGGTTCGATTCCACATAGTGATACAGTTTAGAAACTAAGTAGTAAACTATCTCTTTCCCTGTCACATCTTCTACCATCACTGATTGTCTTTATCAGGAACCAATGTTCTCTTCAGTGCAAGTCTTACAAAAATGCATTTATATATTGTAATGTTATTTTAGAGAATATTCTTCAGTAAATGTTTAATTGTATTTTAATCTGCAAATTTAAATATTTACATACCATGCTTAGAGTTGTTTTCATATTAGTAAATATAGAAATAACTGCTTTTTTAGATCCTCATTGGAGCATTCTCTAAATGAAGATACATGAGTCCTTTACAATTTCTTAGTGTTACAAAGAATGCCATAGTGACCACTTCTGAGCAGACTGACTTCACTACAGATATCTAAGGATATCTCCAGATTGTACATTTTAAGCATGATTAACAGGTTAATGATGGTGTTCCTGAGGAGGCACAGACATTTTGCTTAATAAGTAAAGGTTTTATTTTTTATTTTTTTTTTTTAATTTTTTTTTTTTTAATTTTTTATTTATTTATGATAGTCACAGAGGGAGAGAGAGAGAGGCAGAGACACAGGCAGAGGGAGAAGCAGGCTCCATGTACCGGGAGCCCGACGTGGGATTCGATCCCGGGTCTCCAGGATCGCGCCCTGGGCCAAAGGCAGGCGCCAAACCGCGGCGCCACCCAGGGATCCCTAAGTAAAGGTTTTAAATCACCAGTCTTAAACATACTCAGCTAAAGGAAGCCACTGAAAAGAACTAAGAAGCAGGAGAATAATGTTTAAATAAATAGAAAACATCAATAAAGAGATAAATTATGGTAAAGGAATGGAATAGAAATTCTGGAGCTAAAAAGTATAATAACCAAAATTGAAAATTCATTAGAGGGCTCAGTAGCAGATTGACAAGAAGAATAAAGAATTGGTGAACTTAAACATAGGTTAATTGAAATTATCCAGCATGAGCAGAAGAAAGGGGAAAAAGAAGAAAAGAGAAAAAAGAAAAATGAACAGATTAAGAAACCTCTGGGACACTATAGACAATATCAAGAATACTGATACAGGGGCACCTGGATTGGGGTAGCTTAGTCTGTTGAGAGTCTGACTCTTAACTGCCACTCAGGTCATGATCTTGTGGTCCTGGGATTGAGCCCTGCATTGGGTACCATACTCAGTGGGAAGTCGGCTTCATGATATTCATTCTCTTTCTCTCTCTCTCCCTCTCCCTCCCTCTTCCTCTCCCCCTCTTCCTAACCCTCTCCCCACATGTGCATACCCGCCTAAAATAAATAAATAAAACTTTAAAAAATACGGATATACACATTATAGGAGTCCTAGCAGGAAAGAACAAGAAAGGGCAGAAAGAATATTTGAAGAAATAAGAGCTGAAAACCTCCCCAGGTTCACCAGAACATTAACTTACACATCCAAGAAACTCCATGAACTTCAACTATGATAAATGCATAGAGATCCCTGGCAAGCACATAATCAACTTTGAGACAAAAAGAGAATGTGGAAAGTAGCAAGACAGAAACAACTTTTCATCTACAAGGATTCTCTTTAACAGCACTCTTACCAGAAACTGGAGGCAGGGGGCAATCTCATGAGATCTTTTTAAAAAATCTACCAGGAACTCTAATCAGGCAAACTATGCTTCAAAATTGATAGTGAAATTAAGAGACTCCTAGATAAACAAAAGGTGAGGGGGACGCCTAGGTGGCTCAGCAGTTGAACGTCTGCCTTTGGCTCAGGATGTGATCCTGGTCCTGGGATCAAGTCCCACATTGGGCTCCCTGCGAGGAGACTGCCTCTCTCTGTGTCTCTTATGAATAAATAAATCTTTAAGAAAAAAAAGAAAGCTGAGGAAGTTCACACTAACAGCCTTAGCCTTACATGACCTATGAAATGGAGTTCTGCATACTGAAATGAATAGAAACTAGTGGTACCTCAGAGCCATGGTAACAAATAAAGAACACTAGTAAAGGTGGCTACATAGGTAAATACATAAGCCAGTATTATTATATTTTTGTTTTGTAATTAATTTTTTTCTGCATGACCTAAAAGACAAATGTATAAAACAATCATAAAAATCTGCTTTTGAGTGTATTAAACATTTTTTCACATCTGTTATAAAGAAGTAGTTTTTGACAATAAGAACATAAAGGGAGACTGTATAGGAGCAGTTGTATGCTATTAAAGCTAAGTTAATATCAACTGAAATTCACATATTAGTTTAATAATGTAAACTGTAATCCTCAGGGTAACCTCTCAGAAAATAACAAATATACAAAAAATAAATACAAAGAGAATCAAAATGGTATGTATACACAGACACACAAAGAGGGGAGGAATCATGATATAAAATATTAGACATACAGAAAGCAAATAGCGGGCAGCTCCGGTGGCTCAGCGGTTTAACTCTGCCTTCAGCCCAGGGCGTGATCCTGGAGACCTGGGATTGAGTCCCACGTCGGGCTCCCTGCATGGAGCCTGCTTCTCCCTCTGCCTGTGTCTCTGCCTCTCTTTCTGTGTCTCTCATGAATAAATAAATAAAATCTTAAAAAAAAAAAAAGCAAATAGCTAAATGTCAGAAGTAATTCTTATCAGTAGTAACTTGAAATGTAAGTTGATTAAACTCTTTATTAAAAGACAAAAGAATTTTTAAAAATGATTTCTCTATATCTACAAAAGCCTTGCTTCTCAACAAAGCTTTCACAAAGTGAAAGGATGGAAAAAGATACTTCATGTAAATAGTAATGAAACCTAGCTGGGAAGTTACACAAATATCCAGTCAAATAGACTAAGTTGTAAAATTGTTACCAAAGCTGTTGAAGGACATATTTTGAAAAAGTGGTCAATGCGTCAAGATGATAAAAGGACTATGAACAATATGTACATAATAGCAAAGTCCCCAGTTTTTTGAAGCAGAAGTTGAGGAAATAGTTACAGTATAATAGTTGAAGACCTCAGTACTCCCCTTTTAATGGATAGAATAACTGAACATAATACCAATAAGGAAATAAAGGACTGAGCAACAGTATAAACCAACTAGACTTAGGGCAGACATGTACAGAACACTTCAACAAAAACAGGGCACTAAAAAAAAAAAGGAATATAAGGGAACTTCCTCAGCCTGAAAAAAGGGTATTCTTAAAATTCCACAGCTAATATCATACTCATTGGTGAAAGACTGAAAACTTATATCCTAATAGAAAGAACAAAACAAGGGTGTACCATTTTGTCACCACAGTTTAACACTGTACTGGAATTCTAACCAGAGAAAAGAGAGAGGAACAATAAATGTGTCAAAATTGGAAAAGGAATCAAACTAGGTCTATTCACAGAATACATGATCATATATTTAGAAATAAGAATTCCTCAAAAGAACTATTAGATAATAAATTCATTGAAGCTACAGAATACAATATCAACATTCAAAACTTAGTTGTATTTTTTTATACTAGCAGTCAACAAATTGAAAGTAAGTGGGAATAACTAAGGAAATGGAAGATTTATACACACTGAAAACTACAAAGTTGCTGAGAAAAATGAAAACCTAAATAGATGTCAAGATCGCCTGTGTTTGTGGATTGGAAGAGATGGCAGTATCCCATAAAATGATAAAAAGAGTAATGTAATCCCTAGCAAAATCCCAATAATCTTTTTTTGCACTCATTAAATTGGTAAGGATCCCAAATAACCAAAATAAACATGAGAAAGAACAAAGTTGGAGGACCTAGAATTCCAACATCAAACCTTGCTTGAGTAATCAAAACTATAATTCCAGCAGAAGCTAGAAGTGTAGATCAAAGTGACAGAACTGAGCATCCACAAATAAACCCATACATCTAATCCATTCCTTTTTTACAAAGGTGCCAAAACCAGTCAGCGGAAAAAGAATAATTTATTAAATGGTGCTGGCACAGCTAGATAGCCATGTGAGAGAGAATAAAATTCAAACTACCTTGTACCATATAAATGATTCAGAATTAAAGACTAAATGCAAGAGCTAAAACTCTAAAACTCTTAAATGAAAATGGGTAAATCTGCATGACCTTGGGGCTGGCAGTGAATTTTGTATAGGATATCAAAAACAGAAGAGACAAAATAGATAAACTGGTCACCATCAAAATTAATAATGTTTGTGCACTGAAGGACATT